ATTCTTTAGTTATGTGTAAATTTTTATTTTACTTTTGTAGCAGTCAGATAAAATTATTTGTACATTGGTCAGAATTTTCAAAAAAAAAAAATAATAAGAAAGCAGACATTATTTGTAAATTTAAGTAATTATCATTTTGATATCTATTTCATTTCGTGAAACTTTAGCTTTTCCAAACTGAAATCTAATTTCAATTAACTATAATTATACCATTTTATACTTTAATAAGTTGCATCATGTTGTGTTTAGAAAAAAAATAATTTAAACTTTAAACAACGTATTCTGTATACTTAAAAGTTTGAAAAACTTTAAGATGGATCCAATAATTGTTTTTTATATTCTTTCTTTACGTTCATCTCCTCTCTATATATTTAATGCTTTTTCATATTCATTTATTGCTAACTTTATGTTTACTCCATTCTTTAGTTATGTGTAAATTTTTATTTTACTTTTGTAGCAGTCAGATAAAATTATTTGTACATTGGTCAGAATTTTCAAAAAAAAAAAATAATAAGAAAGCAGACATTATTTGTAAATTTAAGTAATTATCATTTTGATATCTATTTCATTTCGTGAAACTTTAGCTTTTCCAAACTGAAATCTAATTTCAATTAACTATAATTATACCATTTTATACTTTAATAAGTTGCATCATGTTGTGTTTAGAAAAAAAATAATTTAAACTTTAAACAACGTATTCTGTATACTTAAAAGTTTGAAAAACTTTAAGATGGATCCAATAATTGTTNCAGAAAAAAATGCTTATAAAAACACACCAACAGTGTTAACAATTAATAAAAAAAATTAGTGAAAATTTTGGTGAAGGCGCCGGGACAATTTAAAAGAAATGTGATAATTGAGCTATAACTACGTTTTTAAGCAGTGTGATGAATATTCATCTTTCAATTATATTTATTGTATGAAAATGAAGTTAAAGTTGTAAATTTATATTTTCTTGAATAATAAATTAAAATACAACTTGTAATGTGACATATAGACAACCCAACATACGGCAAATATTGCAACTGTAATAATGTAACTGTAAAGAAAATTGGAAAACATTTTTCTCACAAAAAGACTTTTTAACGTAAAACTCGATACTATCTTCGAAAAATTCACAAAATATTACGAAGAAATATTTAATTTACGTACTATTGTTAAAGACATTTTCATACAATATTTGGTTAACACCTTTATGCATTTTTATTTAGCTGTTATTTGATTTTACAAATCCTGAAGTTACACTGAAAATATAAGACAGTCATCATTGTGAAAACTAACCGGGTTTTCCGAACCGTTTGCAGTAACATCTCATAAACCATTGATGTCCAGGGGTTTGGTTCAGTGTTTGGGGATATTCCACGTCCATGTTGTCTAAAAATTGAACTCGACGAGACGAAATCAAGTGGCTTCAGGGATTCCCTATGAGAAAAAGAAAAACGAAGGGAAAATTAACCAATTAAATAAAACCACCTCCTTATAGGGGTGCAATACGTAGAGTGGACGCTGGGAAAAACAAGGTTAAAAATATACGTTGTATTGTAGGAAGAACATGAAAATATTCTAGGTAGAAAAGGTGTTGGAAGGAATTTAAAACAAACCACAGTAAGGAAGGAAATAAGAAATAGGATGGTGGAACATCTTTTGGTACATGAAGAGCTAGTTAAAATTTGGTCCAGGTGGACCAGTTTTGACATCTATATTTTTTTCTTAAATTATAACGATGGGAAACCCCTACCTATCGTTGGTAATGTTGACTGTGACCGTTTGGATTGCTGATGTGGGAACCTCATGTCCTCACGGCGTTGACGAAGAACTGGAGTGGTGCGAATCGGATCGATAATTGTTGTCACACTCAAGGGGTTGCAATTTTGCATGTATTCTGTTGAACTATGTGGTGTAGAAGCTAGAACGTCATGCAGTTGTTGTATCTGTCCGATCCTGCAACAAAAAGAAAAAATGTTAGGATTTAAGATAGTAATTCGCTGATGATTCTTGGTGAATTTGAGGAAACAGTAGAAAACAAACACTTGGAGAAGGTTCACAATTTTCGTCTTTATCTGTGTACATTTCGCCTTGCTAGGGTTAGGTATGAATGTCATACAGATGAGTAAAGAGTTAATAAAGTAGACATTGTGAAACTTCCAAATGCTTGTTTTCTATTATGTATTTAGTTACGATTTAAATTCCCTTTTAGTTCTAATGTTAAATCCCAATTAAAATTCAAATAAATAATAATCGCAGCACAAGGTTGGGATATTTTTACGAATACCTGTTATCAGAATTAAGTTTAGGTATTTAAGTGAAAAGTGCCTACCACCTACTCAGTAATTCTAATAATGGTTGCTGTTTGTTGTGAGAAAATATATTTTAATTGAAAGAGTTCTTTCTGGTATTCTCACTTTACACGCCAAATTAATTGNATGTTGTGTTTAGAAAAAAAATAATTTAAACTTTAAACAACGTATTCTGTATACTTAAAAGTTTGAAAAACTTTAAGATGGATCCAATAATTGTTTTTTATATTCTTTCTTTACGTTCATCTCCTCTCTATATATTTAATGCTTTTTTATATTCCTTTCTTTTCTTCGCTCTTCAAGCCTATTCCTTATTCTTTTCGTGTATCCATAATTACAATACCACTGTAATTTTTGTCAGTATCCTTTGTCAACTTCTTAAATTATCCCATTTCCCTTCCACATCCATACCATATTTTGGTATAGGTAATTTCTCATTGCATTCCCCAATCCTTCATAGGAATTCGATTGACTTAACCGCTGTTTACCTGTTTAGCACCTCAATCCCTTTTGTAATTTGCTCCCTTAGTAACCCCTCATCTCTTCTACCTGTCTCCTTTTTAGTAGTATCTCATATAATCCTCTCTTCCAATATTCTTTTAAAGTATTTAAGCACTCCACCTCTTATATCTTACCAGTCATTTGTGTTTGTTACTTTTCCCATACTTATTTACTATTTTCCAGCACTCCTCTGTTTCCCTCCCTTTAAATCATTTATTATTTTATCTTTGCTTCTTTTAATCTGCTCCCTATACTCAAATCAATGTCTTTTTTATATTCATTCTATTCACATTCACTCCTTCTCCATGTGTTCAATGCATCTTTATAGTCCTTTCTCTCCTTTCAACAACTACCCTCGATTCACCATTTTTTACTCCTATCAATTACCCTTATTATCTAAACAATCATGCTTTCTCTCATCACATTAATCATATCTTCCCAATCCTCAATCCCTTCAACCCTTTCTTCCACTCTCTTCCTAAACTCTTCTGTTGCTCCCTTCCCTCAGTCAAACACTTCTCTATTTACTTGTTCACTTACCCTTTCATTTCATTCTACTTTCAACACACTTTCTAATCGTATGTGCTTCAATCCTATCATTTTTTTAACTTGAAAAATTCAATATTTTTTCCACCCTCTTCCATTTACCATCGCATAGTCTATAACTGCACCTAATTAATAAATTCTTATTTTCGAAATTTTTGTTTTCAAAATTGAATTCTTATTAATTAATCATTTAAAGTATTTCATATTTTAATAATTTTCATTCGAATAGTAAAACTGTGATTTAATACAAAGTATATCAACATTTTTATGCACTTACCTTTATGTTTAGCCCTTACTTTCGTTGTGTGTAAATTTTTATTTTAGGTTTGTCAGGGAAATTAACTGTTGCATGTAAAATTATTTGTACTTCAGTCAGAATTTTCAAAATTCTTTTATATTTAATTTAATTAATGTAATAACAAAGTTAAACTTTTCAGTTTCTGTGTACATAGGCATCCAATCATACACCATGAGAGTATTTTACTGTACCCCGGTTCCTTCACCAAATTTTATATGACGCTTTAAAGACGTGCTCGTTTGTATTATTTCTTTAATATTTTTTTACTGAATAATTCATTGTAAAACACAGATGCATAAATGCATCAATAAATCCACTTTTACAAATGTCTAAATGTAACTTTTAAGAAGTAACTTACTGATGTTAAAATAAAATGTACTTGTATTTATTATAAGTTTTGTTGAATCTGTATCGATTGATATTTTAGAAATTAGTTTATTTAGATATATTAATGGTAAGACAGAATTTGAATTGTATTTATCTTATATTTTGGATTATATAAATGTGATAGGAATATTTATTTAAGTCATGTTAGGATTAACTATTTCTTATAATATTTATCATATTTTTACTTACCTATGTATTTGTAGATTAGGTGGTGTTGTAAAAATCATGTAATAATAATAAGAAGGGGTGCCAGGGACTTCTTGTGGGGAGAGCTTGAGAGCATGTAAGTAGAAAGGGTGATAATGAGAGAGAATACGTGTGCGAGGGAGAATTATGTGCAAGTGAGCGAGTACATGTGGAAGAAAGGGTGCAAATTCAAACCTTGTTATGAATTCGCACCCTCTCTTGCATACGATGGGTGCGATGAGAGAGAAAATGTGTACGAATGAGGGTGTGTACGTCAGAAAGAAGGTATTAATTCATAACTCCCTTATAAATCTATACCATCTTTCTCACGTACCCTCTCTAGTGCACAGTTTCACTCTCGTCGCACCCTCAAAGAGAATGTGTGCGGTGGGGGAGAAAATGTGTGCGAAAGAGGGTGTGTGCATGTGAGAGAGGGTACGAATTCGTACCTTCTCTTACATGCACACCCTCTCTAGCAGACATTCTCTTCCCCATCGACGAATGAGTGCACGTGCGAATGTGTGAATGAGGGGTTGAATGCGTGCGATAGGGGAGAGGATGTGTGCGAAAGAGGGTGTGTGCGTGTGCAAGAGGGTACGAATTCGTACCCCTTATGAATTCGTACCCTCTCTCACGAACACACCCTCTAGCAGACATCCTCAACCCTATCGCCGCACGAGGGGGGAGGGCAACAGGGGCGGGGGACACCGGGGGGGGAGGGCACCAGGGGCGGGGGGCACACAGGGGGAGGGAGATCAAAATAAAAGAAGATAAACCTTATAATGTGTTTTATTAAGGACAAAAACAAATTTTTCAAGCCTACCAGGTTTAGCGCGAAAGGTTTTGGTTATTCGAAGAGCGTCCGGGTCAAGGCCCGAACGGTGGAGGGTCCAAATTCGAACTTAGAAGCCCCCAAGACACGAAATTCGGAAGTTCCGGGATACTAAGTCCCAGAAACTTCGAAATGCAAATTCCAAGAACTCCAAAACAAAGTTTTGGAGTCCTTGAAATTCGAATTTCGAAGTTTCCAAGACTCAGAATCCCGGAAATTCCGGGATTCCGGGTGTTGGGGACTTCGAAGTTCGAAGCTGGACGCTCCAGAACACTCCCGGCGCGACGTGACACTGCCGATAGAGTCCCACGACGAGGCATACTCCTGATGGTGGTCGTCCTGCAACAAAATAATTGTGTTATTATATTTCCAACTAAATTAAGAAGAAAAGATTAGAAAAGACTAAAGATATAGGATATAGAGATTAATAATTTTAATAAACAATTAGGGAGATGGATAAATGTTAACAAGTTGGTCTAATTTAAAAAAAGAATACATACCAATCTAAAAAATTAAACAAGGAAGCCGAGAGGAATGCATTTAAAGATAAGAATTCATGCTTAGTATTATCTAGTAAAAAAAAACAATGCAAATAGATAAGAAGAAATTAACTAAAACTCTTATATAAGACTTGAGAAATATTAAATTAGCTAACTGTTAAGAAACAACTAAAAAGAAGAATATTTAGAGTTGAAATAAATAAAAGAAATGTGAGATTAAGGTTTTGTTAATACAGCTCAATTAATTTATTAGTTTTAATGTATGTATTTATCTATGAGATAGAGAAAGAATAAATAATTATTACAAGGAATAAGTAATAGGATTGAAAGTTAAATAAGTAAGTTTGATTTGATAACAAGCTTAGTGTGAACTGAAAAAACTCACCCTTGTGGATGCAGTCGAATTAGCCCCATCGCTCTCACGACGCAGCAACAAGATCCTGAAGATGATCCTCCTGCAACAAAAAATATAAACATTTCATTTACTTTTATAACAATCATTTAATTTTAACAGAAAACGATATAATCATCTACAATTATTTCTTTAAAATGAGCAAATGTGTTAATTGCATTCTATACATTTATAAATTTGTAGCAAATAACAAATAAGAACTGTTATAAACAATTGAAATGTTTTAATGCTACTATATTATCCACCAAAAGAATAAAGATGAAATTATTGACCAATTTATTACGTTAAACACTATGAAAATACATTGTTTTAATTTTGCACATGTAAATGCTTTCTTTTTATTAATATTATGATGATAATAAGACATTCGTGAAGACACACAAACATAGAAAGTAATTACTAGAAATTTTGCTGAAAATTTTGGTGGAGGCGCCAGGATCATTTAAAGCAAAGGCTGTAATTCAGCTATAATTCCGTTTTTTTGGAATATCTTGATGAATATTTACCTTTGAACAGTATATTTTGCGTGTACATGCAGTTAAGGGATACTACTTTATTATTTTTCACAATAAATTAAACTTTCATTTGTTATATAACATATAGACAACCCAACGTACAGCAAATATTATAATTCTACTAATGTAACACTAAAGGAAGTTAGAAAACGAATTCTCCCCCGAAAATAACTTGTTTGTAAATATTGTTACTATCCTTTCACAAACCACAAAATATTACCAAGAAATAATTAATTACGAATTACTAATAGACTCGTTTTTTTGCTAAATTTTGTTAAAAATTCTTACACATTGTTATTTGGAGTGCTAAAAAGGTATTTAGTTACTAATTACGAATTTTTAGTAAATGTACATTGTTATTGAAATGGTAAAAAAATGGTCACGGAGATATACAAATCGTGTATGCAATTAATAAAGAATGTAATTGAAAATTTTGAGGAAGGCGCCGAGACAATTTAAAACTGGCTATAATTGACCTATAATTCCGTTTTTTTCGAGCAGTTTGATGAATATTCATCTTTAAATTATATTTGTTCCATGTAAATGAAGTTAGAGTTGTTAATTTATATATTTTTTTCATAATAAATTAAAGTGCAACTTGTAATGTGANATGGTGACAATACTGGCGAATTGGAAGAAATGGCGGGCCAAGAGGCTTTTCCTATTCCTAGAAGACGTGTTTAATTTTTAGTAATAGTTATGTTACGTTTATTATTACTTATTATATTATATATTGATAATTAATATTGTTTTGGTCGATGTGCAATTGGTGCGAAACTAATCTCTTTTTTAATTATTATTATTACTATTTTATTCTATTATAATTAATAGCAATTTTCTGGCTTTACCATAAAATTCCTTCTTAACGGGGGAGGAGTTATCCAAGATAACACGTGTTCCCATAACAGAATCACGCCACGCATCGCAAGATGTCACGCCACGCGAGGTATGGCGTGTTTCGCACAGATTGCAGTATCAGCCAATTTAAATTATAAATACAGGTGCATCTTCACCTGTACTGTACTTTTACTTTTAAGACTTGTAATGTCCGACTAACTTCCGCCCATAGGGTATTGTTAGTAAGTAATTGTCAAAAGGTGTTTTTTTTTGGAATAAAGTTTGTGTAAAAGATTATGAGTTCTTTTTTAAAAAACTAAAGTTCCAAGAAGAAACCAAAACTCTCGTTTGCATTTGATCAGCTTTAATGGTTCAGAAAGCTCTGCTTTGGTTTGGATAGATTATCTTAATAAACGCAGGCAGATGTTATTAAAAATAAAAGCAATCAGGAACACCGCCGATCCAATGCACTAACGCTACTAAGTTTTAATGATTTATAAAATAAAGTTTAATCAACATGCCACTAACTAAACCATAACCGTAAAAGCACTTAACGCCGCTTTGCCCCATAAACTTTGATAAATGCATGTTTAGAAGTACGGCGTAAATTTATTTTTATTAATGAACGTGTACTGGGAAATTCCACGCGCCATAAAAGCCGACGCACACATTTACGCGATTTTGTTAATCTACAAAAACCTAAGCTGACTTTTATTAAATATTTCGCAATTGACCAGCCAAAGGACAAACTTTATTTAAGGTTCCAACTAAATAGTGCAGGACTGAACAGGTGAAACCAACAGGATATACGAGAATTACGAAAATCTAATATATATAAAAGAAAGTCGTGTTAGTTACACTATAACTCAAGAACGGCTGAACCGATTTGGCTGAAAATTGGTGGGGAGGTAGGTTAGAACCAGGAGACGGACATAGGATACTTTTTATCTCGTTGTCCTGGGACGTGGTATAATAAAACGCAACTGACATGGAATAACAAAACGCAACTGAGAGCAAAATGAGAAATTTATCAGTCAAAACATCAGTCTAGCCGTTCATTTGTTAAAAATGGTATATCAAAACGCAACTGACAGCTAAACGTAATGTTGTTTATGGTTAAGTAAGGTGTTTTATTTATTTTTTCATTTTTTCATTATTATTCATTCATTTTTTTGTTTGCTTTTTCATATAAAATTAGTGACATACATTCCTATTTCATCATTTTACAAAATTCTACCTCTTTAGGAAGCTGAAAGGGGTTTGCAAAGATTGCATGTTTATTTTTGGTCCGATTTACTTGAAACTTGGTCTTAATGGTCTCTCATTTAATTTCTGAAAGACTTATCTCGACCTTTTAAAAAATTCAAACTCCAAATGGGGAGGGGTAAAAAGGTGTTGCAATTTTTGTTTGGGATATACATTATTTGTGGTTGAATTTACTTGAAATTTGGTATATATGCTGTTTGATATTATTGATGAAATGAAAAGAGGTTGCAACGTTTCCATGGGGTATATTTTATTTGTACTCGGATTTACTCGAAGGTTGCTCATTGTTGAAATTAAGCAAATACGTGTTTTGGCAAATTTTTAAAAATCAACCCTTAAGGATGAAATGTTGTTGCTACGTTTATATTTGAAATCTAAGATGACGACATTATGTAAAATTAAAACGTTGTAAGTGTGAATTGGGAGTTCGGGTTTTATGGAGAAACAATATTAATTTCTGCGAGCGAAGCCGCGGGGAAAAGCTAGATTTTTAAGATTTTTTACAAACCACACTGATAATAAATCTTTCGATCTCGTTAGCGGTCCTGCTCGCATTAATGACAGTTAATCATGGAATCGTTCACTAATTATTATCCTATTTGCATTTTAAAGCGAGGGGAGTTTGAATTTTTCGTATGTAGGCGGTAATTCATGTTAAATTAATGACCGTTGCGGTGTTCAGCATAATCAGAATCAAACATATTTCCGTTCACGTACCAGCACGCCTGCTAGTAGAGTGATTAGAATGTTATCAGTATTCGAATACATGTTCGATTGACAGCTGTCTCACTCGGATATCAGTGACCAATTAATGGGGAATTTTAAAATGATAAACTTGTCCCTTTGGTAACACGACAAACGTGGACCACGTGCATGTTAACTCTCTTGCCAAAGATAATGTCAACTATTGTATGACATGAATTTGCGAAAGATAGACCTATCAGTTACGTGTTAAACTACTGTTTATTAATCACTTTCGGTAATGAATGCCATTACACCAGTGTAAATGCTTCTAATCTATCTCCTATTTCACTGAGAAGTCTAATGATTATTCACAAATGAGTTAGACATACATAAGTAGACGCAGAAAAAAATAATTACTACCCCTAGCTCAAGATAAATTGTAAAATACCCGTTTTGGTACCTTATAAGTCTAGGTGAGATACAATTTCTTTTATATAATTATTTGAGCATGAAGTATCTACCACTAGACTGGCATTTACTTTAACGTTCAACTTGCTTTAATAAACGCTTTAGATAAGTTTACTTAAGTTTAAATTAACTCTTCCTTTCCTTCATAAGACTTTAATATCTCCTTGGAATTACTACGTCAAACTAATTTTAAACAAAGGGAACCTACAAAAGTATATCTGTTGTTTCATTTTTTTCTTTGAAATGGGGAAGTTGATACCGAGAAGGGTTAATAATGATTTCTTATTACATCAAATGAACACTGATAAATATGTGAATACCCCAGCTTCATTTTTGGTAAAAATTACCTCATGCTATCTAATCTCCGACACAAATTTGTATTAAAGTGTGATTGAACTTAAAGTCGATTTCTAATAAATATGTCTCACGATTAAGCATGATTTACATTTATTGCAGGCAATGGGGTTAAACTTTAAATTAGTCTGGAGCAAACGCCCTCAAACTACCAATTTCCCGATCATTATACAAAAAAGTCAGTCCTGAAACTGGAAATTCAGTATTTAAGAAAGGTATTAAGGTATATAAGGAGCTGGAAGGACGAAAATTAAAGTGAAGAATCAATTAGAAAACACGTAGAGCGATGTTAAGGGAATGGTAATAATTTCAGTCACAATAAAACATGTTGAAATAATTTAATGAAATATGGAAGATATTTACTAAGCTTTTATATTTTGAACTCGTTTCAATTTTGTTTAAAATAAAAATGCGGAAGTTTCCAAATTGCTCATAAATGAAAATCAACAATGTCGTTGAGTTTTCTTAATATCTGCTTTTGACAGTAACAAAATGATTTCATACTAGTGATAGGAATGTGAAACGTAGCATGAAGTTTTCAGGGGAAGAAAAATTCTATTAGAAGTGGCAGAGTGTACGCTGCCGCGGAAATTGCTGCAAATGGGAAAAATCATTTTATATATCGCTTATAATAAACCAGGACATTTTCAACCATTAGCTATATACCCCCAAGGTTTTTTAATTCCTCTAACAAATAGTACGATTACATAGAAGATACATAGACACTTCGTTACAAAAAAAAATATACCTGCATTTGAAAATGTTGTCGAAAGCTTCAAGTCACAATATTGGTGGACCTGACGTTTGTTAGAACCACTTATGTTTAAACAACAAGTTTTATTAAAATAAGGTCATTTAAACCAATATTCGTATTAATCGATATATGCCGTGCGTAATTTTCGATAGAGTACTTGACACCTAATTATT